ATGATATTTTACAATGGATTAATGTTTTGAGCAAAGAATTGCAACGAGAAACTATGGACGTTACTCAAGCTTTTAGTCTGATGAAACGTAATGAATTATACTTTGACGAATATAGAAAAAAATGATCTCCTGAATACGTCTCGTATGCTAGCAGGTGACAATGGCATAGAACCTGTATTCAAACAGAAAATGGTTTGTCGGAAAAAATGCTAGCCCCCTTATGAAGGAAGTGATGAGCCAATCAGTAATGGAAAAAATGAATTTGAAGTTGAATTTTTTAACTGCATGTTGGATACTGCATTGGTACGACTCAAATAGAGATTCAAATAACTAAAACACTATTAAGAGATTTTTGTTCCAAGTTTATGTTGTGGACAAAGATGAACTGAAGAGTAAGTGCGAGAATTTAGAGGTTTTTCACTGATAGAAATAGGGATAGCAAAGATATAGAGAAAGATTGTGTGAAGAATGAATAAGACTGAGAGTGACTATGGCTGAGGCAGTTCACAGATCATCAAGCCCTCTGAAGTCGTCAAGTTATTACTTAACATAAATATGTGGACATTTATCCTAATACTGCCATCGCTTTTCGGATTCTTCTAACGATACCCGTGTCAGTAACATTTTCAGAACGCAGTTTCTCCAAGCTGAAACTATTAAAATCTTATCTACGAAGTACAATGAGCGAAAAACGTTCGGTATCATTAACTGTCCTTTCAATAGAAAAAGATTTAGTTGACAAATGTGATTATCATTTACTTTTGAACGAAAGTCGAAAATCATTTCACTTATATAACTCGTTTTTTCTCGTACATTAATTTTTTCTTTGACTTTCTTTAATTTGTTACTATGAGTTTTTTCTACAGATTGTCATTCGTGATTATGTCCATATGCTACCAATTAGTCAATTTATTATGTTCAACTGAAATAAAGATTATCTATAACTTCTGTTTTGGCCGGACTTTGTCTTAGGCCTCGCACTTGCTAAAGCCGGCCCTGAGTAAGATCGACTGTCACAGTTATAATCCATCCACAAATGGCAGCAGCATTCTTTATTGTGTGTCAAATCTTGGACCTATTGATCTGCGATTCAACACACTAACCAGTGAGCCACAACCATCTCCAAATTATGAATAACTTATATATAATTATAATGTATACACATCAAGCTTATAGTTTTATTTCCCATCCAGTTATTCTGCATTTTCACCATAATTATAGAACGATTTCTCCCTTCATGACCCCCTCCTCTCCAGCATATCAGCGGTAAGTCTGAGGGCCTATAACGCCTAATATCGGGTTTCAATACTCGCAGTGGCTAAAGTACAAAGAGTCCATTATGTAGCTTTGTAATGAACAACAAATAAACAAACAATTCTTCATGGAATATCGGATTTTTTCCGAGTCCTTTTTCACAAGAGTATCCTTCTTATTTATAAGACGAGTTTGGATATTTCCAAAATAACCAAAGTTCTGTTGATGATTTTTAGTTATGAAATAAAGAAAAGTATCTAAAAGCAAAAGGTTTTGCTCTTATAAGTTTTATATTTAGGTCTGTACGCAGAATGTTTGAAAGGGAGGTTCCACTTTGTGAGTTCAAAAGTCAGCAGACATTGTACTAATCACAATCAGCATGCTAATTGTACGGGAGGGGGGTCTAGTGGCATGCGGCTATTTCAAGCCATAAAATGCTAATGCTTCATCCAAACATTGTAGACTATGTAGAAAACGTTAAATATCATAAGCATCTACGCTATAACTATATAAACATATTTTTTACATCATAAAAATAGGGTATTCTATTGAATATCCTCGATACACCACCACCACCCTCTCCTCCTGTGTACGTGCGTGACATTTCTTACTTAAGTAGGGAGCAATAATACATTCTGTCTTGCGAATATGTCAAATACATCATGTATCTGTAGTATTAACTATCTCTCTCTATATATGTATAATATTAATGACAAAATTTATAGCGTTATAAGCCCACTGATTGACTGTGGAAGGGAAGAAACGGAAAAAGAATCATGTTTAAACTCTGCAAAAAGCAAATCCTTTGGTCTGGCACAAACATTATTCGAAAATAATATTGTTACGTCTCTGGTCGTTTGTTAATTTCCCGTAAAAAATTTTCCCGAGGAACCTCAGCAATACAAGTCCTTTCTTAAATAAAACTAGTTTATTCTTTCTCAATACAACTTTTCAATACGAAGAATTTCCACGGTCACTTTAACTAACACACGCTATAATTCACAACGATTCACG